AATTTTTAGCGTAAGGATTTTAGAAAAAAGTATCATCTTATAGTCGGAAAAATACAGTAATATGGGAGATCTTATCAAATCTTATAGAGTTGTAGGGTTTTTGTAAACCAGGTAATCTATTCTCTTCTATTGGTACCAGGTAATTCAACCTGCTGTTATTTTAGAAAATTCAGAGATTGAGCATCTGCAATAGATGAGTAGCCAGCTCCGCCGCGCCCCCCCCCCCCGCAAAAGAGTAAAGAGAAATACTTTCCTGTCCTACTGCTCTTCTAAAAAATGTGTAGTCTTTTATTGGGTTACAATTAGTTAGACCTTGATAGCAGCTTCATAAGATACCACTTAGCATATTTAATATTTTAGAATGCTTAGGTCACTCTTCAGATATCATCTTTTATATTTTATGCAGGGTTGTGGGGTTTTTTGGAATCATCATTGCAATTTACCTTTAAGATCAAGACAGCACTAAAGCAGATTACTCAGTCAGGCTCTGTCAGTTAAATCTAGGGCTACTTTCTTGACTTTTTCATTATGGGGGCAATCAAAAATATACAATTTTGATATGCATGAAACTAAGTGCCATAATTAGTACTGCTCCAGAAGGGGGTTCCAGTGCAATTTCCTTGGTGGTGTTACATGCCCATGTAATATTTTTCCTATTGTTTAAATACCCTCTGAAACCACCACCATCCTTCTCTTAACTCTGACGGGAGGCAGCACTATCTTCCGTATTGCAGTTTTCATTGAAAAGGCTTTGGTATCACAGGACTTTATTAGAGTCTTATTCCTCTATCTTTTCTTCTATTTATGATATTTTCTATCAAACTTAGATTTATACCATTTTGGTCCTTTACCTTCTTTCCACCATTTCCATCCATGGTTGCTTTTAAAATTTAAATGCTTTCTCATCAGTTTGGAATCCACCACTGCCCATTTGCTGCTGTCCTAACTCCTCATCCCTTAGCCTAAATTGTTCAACCTGTGAAGATTTATAAGTTGCAGCAGCTGTATTCAATTCTCCATAAACCCTTTCCCTTAAATTTGTATCCTTCTCTTCTTTTTGGCCTGTAATTCCCCCATTCATCCATCAAGTCAAAAAATGCACATTACTATGCGTATGCCCTTCACAATAGAAATTATTATGGTAAATTAGTCATCCATCACTACATCCTGACATTGTGTTGACTATGTTACATAGCCACTCTAAAGCTGCATAGTCTGTAACTAAATAAAAAGGATTTTGCAGTAAATAATAATGCAGAGAATAAATGGCCTACTTCATGGCTAAAGTTTGTTTCTCTACAGTAAAATAATTATGTTCCCTAGGATATAATTCCTACTGAGAGATAAAAGAATGCTTGTTCCACCATGATATTGAGACAGAACTGACCCCAAATTAAAAGCTGAAAGATCTGTCACTGTTGTAAGTGGCTTCATTCTCTGACCCTTTCATGACTGAGGGTTTAGGTAGAATTTTGATCATGCGTCAAGAATTTTATTCAGACCATTCTTCCACTTCAACAAGCCAGCTAAAGAAACAGTGAAGAATACCTATTTGTGGAACAAATCAACTATAATGGACCATTAAATATAATAACTATTGCACATGGAATCTGTTGGAATCTCTGCAAAGCTAACCTTAATAACTGGATACCTTTTCTATTTCAAAATGGCAAGTAATCTTGCTACCTTTTTTCCCAGCAATTTTGTTTGGAAGTGGGTCTTGAAGCACAGAAAAAGTGTTTGCATTCATCTTGGAGCCTCAGGTTGCATCATTTGCTAAAAGAGATACGTTTTTTAAAAAATATCACTAAGTATTGGGAAATCCAATGTTCACAATTCATTTGAGCTCCACTCCAGACATAGTGATTTGCATTAAGGGTGATACATACGGGTTCCTGCCACTACTCTTAAATGGCATTTTGCATTTTTCTTGTGTAAGGAAAAAAAAGGGAGAAACACAAGATGGTTACAAATGGAAAGCAATTTCATTTGGAACTATTGTACAATGAAGCAAGGTATTCACAGTAGAAAAATCTATCTAGAAGCACTCTAAGAAATCTGATTCAACCATTAGTTTCCTGGGGAATGGTCTGAGTATGCATTACCATTGTATCCACAGAGAATTCCCTACCACTAAAGAAAAAGGTATCCTGGTCTAAGTGTTCTGTCTTTAAATTATATATCAGATACACTGAATGGGTGTCAAGACATCAATTACAAATTCTCTCTTTTTAGAGAGTTTTATAAACTTGTTATCTTGAACTGACAACTGAAAAAACAATCAAGTTTAAGAGTACAATTAATGTTCAGTTCCATACTTGTACAAATCTGGACACTTTTGGTCAGAAATAAATTGACAGATACTGTAGTAATATTTTTGGCTGGTACAGTGGTACCTCGGGTTATGAACGCCTCTACTAACGAACATTTCGGGTTACGACCAGCTTCGGCAGGAAAAATTTACCTCGGGTTACAAACTCGCCTCGACTTACAAACCGGATCCGCGGCCATTTTCCCTGCTGGCACGTGGTCGCGGCTTCCTGTGGGTGAGGTCACAGTAGCAAGGAGACGTTCGGTGAGGCTTGTGGTGTGTTTT